CTCTGGCGCGTCCTCACTCCCTTTTTGTGGCCTAGGCTCCTTTCACCCTCTGCTTCAGCTTGTCGCAATCGCTGTACAAAGGGCCAGGGGCGGGAGTGGGGGGCGGGCGAGGGGAGCCGGGCCCGAACTGGCTGCCTCTGCGGGGCCACGGCCAATCCGGAGCGTCCACCCCCCACCTCCGCGCAGGAGAGCCTGGGGCAGCTGCCCGCCGCCGGGCGGAGCCGCGGGCAGAGCGGGGAGCTCGCCGAGGGGACGGCCCCGCTGCCTTCCACCCGCCGCCCGCTATCCGCCGGGGGCTCTCCCGCCTTGCCATGCCGCCGTGGGGCGCCGCCCTCGCCCTGCTTCTGGCCGCGCTCGCCCTGCTCGGCCTGCTCGCCCCGCGGCTGCGGCGCGCCGTCGGAGCGAGGACTCTGCCCGGGCCTCGCGGCCGGGACCACGAGGAGGAGGTGGACGGCAGAGGCGCCGCGGACGAGTTCAGCGACGGGCGTGAGCCGCTGCCCGGAGGGTGCAGGCTCATCTGTAAGCCGTCGGCGCTGGCCCAGTGCCTGCTGAGCGCCTTACGACATTCAGCAGCTCTGGAGCCGCGCCCGCGTTCCTGGCTCTCCGGGCCCCACCTGCAGACCCTCTGCCACTTTGTGCTGCCGGTGGGGCCGGGGCCTGAGCTGGCCCGAGAGTACCTGCAGTTGGCGGACGACGGGCTGGTGGCCCTAGACTGGGTCGTGGGACCTTGCCCCCGGGGTGGGCGGGTCACCAACGCCGGGGGCCTTCCCGCGGTGCTGCTGGTGATCCCCAATGCATGGGGGCGCCTCACTCGCAACGTGCTCGGCCTCTGTCTGCTCGCCCTGGAGCGCGGCTACTACCCGGTCATCTTCCACCGCCGCGGCCACCACGGCTGCCCGCTGGTCAGTCCCCGGCTGCAGCCTTTTGGGGACCCGTCCGACCTCAAGGAGGCGGTCACTTACATCCGCTTCCGACACCCGGCGGCCCCTCTGTTCGCGGTGAGCGAGGGCTCAGGCTCAGCGCTCCTGCTCTCCTACCTGGGCGAGTGCGGCTCCTCCAGCTATGTGACCGGCGCCGCCTGCATCTCGCCGGTGCTACGCTGCCGCGAGTGGTTTGAGGCCGGCCTGCCCTGGCCCTACGAGCGGGGCTTTCTGCTCCACCAGAAGATCACCCTCAGCAGGTGGGTAACGGAGGCCCCAGCCGGGCAAGGGGGCAATAGAGGTCTTAGGCTGACCAAGAAACATCTCTGCCTAGTATTGAATCAAATAGGTTTAGGGCAGTTTGAGCAAAGTTCTCCTCACACAATTTCTGAAGCTGCCCTAACCCTCTGGTCTACACAGAACCAGGGAAACAGGTTTAAAAGCCATAGATGGGCTCGCATCGTTATGCTAAAATAGGGACTCCTGGCCTGGAGCGCGTGGCCTCACCTCAGCCCCAGCGTGTCCTAGCAACCTGATCACCTGCTCCACCTGTAGCAGAGGCAGCACCTGACATTTACCACTTAATTCACACAGTTTGTCAAATCAGCAAAGAGGCCTCTGGAAGCAATTACAAATGATTATCCAGAATGTTTCCTTCCAGTGTCTGAGACTGGAGGTGATAGGAATCAGAAATTTGGTGTTACGTGATTTTTAACATTCTTTGGACTTGACAAATGTTTTGCATATTCCTAGGTATATTGAATCCCAAAATTTAAAGAATATGTCAACATAGTTTTTAAAAAAGTCTCCAAAAGGAGAGCAATCTACCATTATTGTAACAGGTGAGACTTTGGCACTGAGAAGGCCTGATCGATGTTCCCACAGCAAATAACCACATCTCAGCATGCACCGTTGCTTTCCTAGGAAATGGCAAAATGAGATCAAAGACATTATAGCAGAAAGTGTGGTGTGCAGAAAGACCTGGGATGTGCAGTCAGAACCACTGGGGTTCAAATCCTAGCACTGGGTAGGTGCTCAAAAAGTGGTGGCAATTGTGATTTCTCTTTCCTCTTTTTTTTTTTCTTAATTTTTATTAGTTTAAAAAAATTTTTTAACGTTTTTATTTATTTTTGAGAGAGAGAGAAAGAGAGAAAACGAGCAGGGAAGGGGCAGAGAGAGAGAGAGGGAGACCCAGAATCCCAAGTGGGCTCCAGCCTCTGAGTTGTCAGCACAGAGCCCAGCACGGGGCTTGAACTCATGAACCTGGACATCATGACCTGAGCTGAAGTTGGACACTCAACCCACTGAACCACCCAGGCACCCCTAAATAGATTTTTTAAATGTTTATTTTTGAGAGAGAGAGAGAGAGAGAGAGAGAGAGAAAGCACAAGCAGGGGAGGGGCAGAAATATATGTGTGTGGGGAGAAACAGAGGTTCTGAAGCAGGCTCTGTGAGCTGACAGCGGAGAGCCCAATGCAGGGCTCGAATTTGCTGCAGTCAAATACTTAACCAACTGAGCCACCCAGGTGCCCCCTCTTTCTTTCCTTGCCCCATTTTGTTGTGAGAAGGCCAATCCCTGAGCTCCACAATGGCCCAATGCTGTCATGGCAACCCAGAACTTGTGAGGAATCCAAGGGTAAGGTGTTCTTATATGGCTTAATTGCCAGTTTCCATCCCCAAATGACCACCACCAGTGCCGACTCTGGGCACCAGCTGGAGTAAGGTGAGAGAAGTGGAGAGGAAGTCTGGGCCTTTAGGATCTGCCCTGCCCATGGAAATTTGGGATTGAAAAAAAGGGCAAATCTTTTTGAATGTTTGTAGGAGACGCACATCCAAATTCAACTGGCTTAAGTTTGGACTGAACCACCCAAAAGACTGAGCTGCCTGTCCTGGCCCCCTTGTCAGGGTGCTGGGCTGTCTCCATGGAGGTGGAAGCAGCAAAAATGGCCCTCTTCCCCAGAGCAGTAGCTCTCAGGCTCCCTTGTGGGAGCTTACCCTGTAAAGTAATGATACTCCCAGCCACTTCCTCTGCTGCTGGGCCCTCTCTAGGAATACCTGCATCACTGCTCAAGGTCACACTTATTTGCCATTATCTGGGCACCATATTAGGCTTTTTTTTT